ATAATACAGCGACAAAAGCGGAAAAGAGCAACGATAAAAATAGTTAGCGCCGCGGCAGATACATTCTATGTAGGTATGTACATATGTATATATGTAAAAAAATGCTTGCAAAAAAATAGTGCGGCAAAGGTGCCGGTACCAGTACTGCTGATGGTTGTTTTCCCCATCAAAGTTACCACGGTTAACAGCTATGAACATGCATACCATGTCTATCGATGCATGGATAAACACAAACATACATACATACATATTTACAAAGATACCGATATGCCGAAACAATAAATTGTCTAAACTGCCAATGAATATCGGTTTATGGATATGCGTGCGAAAATGAGTTTGCGTGCGCGATTGCCTGTGGGTGGCTAATTGAACTAGGGTAGCACACACACACACATAACCACGCACTAGACACTACACTTGTACGCACTTAAATGCGCGCTTTTATTTTTGCACATTGCGCCCACCATAGATGACCTACTTTGGCTGGTTGCTGAGAAGAAGGTTTTACTATGTTTGACTGAAACGCGTTATTTCATATAATTCACCATTGAGTAGCTACAAAAGCCTCAGTTAGACTTTGCTTGTGGTTTCGGCATGTTTTTAAAAAAATTAACAAAATGCGAGCGCGAGACGCTAAGGGCACAACGGCTCGAAACGCAACTGATAACAGCACGCGCAAGAGCAGATAAAAGTAATTTTGAGTATTTTGTTTTTTTTATTAAGAAAAAAAAGGCTGTGAGTTTGCAAATATTTTAAGGAAGTGGTAAAAATAAAATGGAGGCGTACGAAGTTCATTTTGGGGAAGACGGTCTTAAAGAAGGGAGGCTTTAAAGTGCATAATCAAAAGCGTGCAAAAATTGGAAGAAGATGTGTACAGTGAAAGTTACGGTGTTTTCGAAGACCTTATGATAGCGAATTCCAAGGTAATGTTTTTCGGGTGCAAGCTAATAATAAGATTCACAGGTGTTGTGTGTTTAAGTGGAAGCTTTTGATTTTTGTTTTGAAAATTTATTCTTTGCAGGGAATATTGAAATTTTGGGTATATGTATAGCTTTCTTCCTGTTGGAAGCTGAGGCAAAAAAATAGGTAATAAACTTTTACATTCATGAGAAATGCACAAAAAAATTATGCCAAGCTTTTACTAGTGGTTAATAAAAAAACACAAAAATCGACACTCGCATCCCGACGGTTGATCTTTAGTTAATTTTTTCCATTTCAGTATTAACAACATCTGCGCCACGTAGCGTACTAAGTCTTCTTTCATATTGCTTTGTCGTCATGATCTGAGCCATGTTTGAAGTTTCTAGCTCATCGGGAAATTGGTTAAAAATTGATTGCAAGATTTGATTACACACTTATACATTTTATATTATAAGCCAGTGACGATCAGAGAGAGCTTTTACTCTGCACTTCCATATAAAATCTACAGAATACTTTTAATAGGTTCTCCTGCGGACAAAGTTTTGGACAATTCGGGCCTGTTCGAGGCACGTAATAAAAGCAGCAACACTGAAGCGCTGATAAAAATTTGCAAGACTGTTGCAACTTCCTAATTGATAAAACGTTGCTAGAAATTCACAGCGAGCGTGATGCTTTATTAATTTGCGCAACACTGCGGTTGTGATTGCAACTCGAACAAGGCCCTTTTATTGAGGAAAATGCTTTCACATAGTGGAGCGGCGAGCAAAGAGCATCGAGCAAAGCGACGATTTCAAACGCATATGTTTCAATGGGAAAGCGCATAGTGAAGAGCAAAGCGTACATAAACGTTTGTAATTGAAGCTTTGCTCAATGCTAGCTCTTCGCTTTGCTCAACGCTCCACTATGTTTTTACCCTTAAGCGTCCTATAGCAGTGTTGCCGAAAGAGACCGTTTATTAACTGCTAGCCGTATGTGAGTTTTTTCGAAAGCTTTCAAAAACTTGACACACGTGCGGGGTTGCCGCTGACCTATAAAAATATTTACCATCCACTTGAGAAAAATCTACCAAATCTGGAAAATATCTACCAATAATAATAAAGTCCTTGTAATAAAAGCTATAGTTTTGTTATTTTTTTATTTATTTTAATTAAAACTATAGCTTTTTATTTTTTTAGTTATTTCAATAAGAATTACATTTTTTCTTTTATTTAACTAATTATACGGTATTTGAGTCATATTATTGGCATATTCGCAGTTTCCTTCAACCAAAAGCGGATGTGATGAAACCAAAGGCAACAACGAAACTTCATAATTTGAAAAACTTCAACTCGAGTTATTATAAACAAATACAGTGACTCAAAAAAAGCACTTTTTTAAGTAAACATTATTATATATATTTTTTAAGTAAACATTTTTGTTGCTTTAACTCCATAAAAATTAAGGACTCAAACTATATACAACATTTAGAAAAATTCAGAAAATTTGCGTCCAAATTTCGAATTTTTTACTCTGAATTTTTAGAACAATTTAAGGTACCGAGTTTTAAAGCAAATAATACTTGAGTATAGCTCACAATGTGCTTCCCGTTGATTTTTTTTTTTAATTTTTTGCCGCCAGTCTTTTGTGTTTTTTTCTTTATTTAACAATTTCTATTGATAAAAAATGGCGTTGATTTAATTTTTTTTGCGAACAATCACAGTGCGTCATTACATACCTGTCAATTTTTTCTTTATATGTATTTAAATAATCATTTCATTTCCTCGGGATTCCAGTAAAATGAGTTTTGAATGGAGCACAATATGTTCGCCTTATATCGATATACATTTATGTATATGTATGTAAGCATATAAAAAGTATGTAAAGAAATTTATAATATAAATATAACTACGAAAAATAAATCGGGAACGAAAAATTCAACAAAAATATAACAAAATGAGAAAAAATTTACCTTTTTACCAACCCAAGTTTTTTCTACCAATTTTGGTAACAATTTACCAAAGTGGCAACCCTGCAGACGTGCTTGTGCAATTTCCATATGTGTTCTATAGATTTTAGGTAGACGTCTCTGTCTGGTCTTCACTCTATTATAAAGACCGCATAGGTCGAAAGCTCTCTTTAGACGATAAAACTTGTTGGCAAAAAAAGAAGCTATTGAACACTTTATGTCGGAAATAAGGCAGGGTTTAACGTGAGAATAAAAATTAAAGCTTAGTTATTACATTTAAATAACCTAGTATGTACCTTATTTTTATTCTCTTTGTAGGCTTCACTTATGTCGTAAATCCACCAGAAATTCCACGCGTAGCCTTCGGCTCCGGCATGGAGCGTATTACCCTACCGATTTCAGGGTCTGGTCTATCACCATTTATGCGTAAAATACAAGGCGAAGTGCGCGATTTTCCTGGCCCATTTGAATATTACAACACCAAGGGACTGGATAAAAAAGTAAATGAATTAAGAGGGTTTTCTTGCACTGAAGTTTTGTAGCTTTGCATCTCGCGTTCTTTTTACCTCTTCTTTTAGTATCCTTCAACTCTCGGCTTTTCTTCTTTTGCAAGCAGACTACCACGCCTACCGCCCACTGAAGTATCGCGAAGCCCGTTCGCATACAACGTTGTGCCAAAGAAGAAACTCAAACAAGTGGCGTGTCCATTCAATGTGGGTACCAAGAGAGATGATCTAAAGAAACTGCTAACACCAAGGTGATTTAATTTTGCTTTTGCCCAACTCAATTATGTATATTGAATCTTTTCTTCCTCCACTTAGCCCAGCCGATTACGCATCTATCAAACCCAAACCCAGCATGAAGATATGCTCTGCTTTCGGTTCTAAACGCATCATTTGGCCTGCAGTTGCGATTATTTGCACGCCAATGAACACAGCAAAATGTTCGAAGTGCAATAAGACACCCATTGGCGATTATTATCATCAATTTCAATTGAATTTGGATATGTGTCGACGTTGCATGAATAAGCAGTTGAATATGCTGAAGCGTTG